AAGTGGCCCAAGTCGGTTGGGACAGTTTCTGCTCCCATTGTTTCACCGGTAGCTCCTATAAATCATCCACAAGAGCAGGTCCCCCGAATTTTAAGAGGACTGAAGTAAGCTCATCTGGTCCCGCGGCTTTATTAAACTTCAACAGTGCGATCGCACGTTTGACTTCTGAGCTAGAGGGTGGCTCCAAAGGGACAACCCAAGGAGCGGGGCGATCAGTGGCCAGCAAGATATCTAACAATTCCGACAGATTAAATTGTCTTTCAAAGTGCTCGGCCCAACGCTCCAAACGTTTTGACATGTTGTGGATAGGCTCTCTGGTCTCGTCACGTATAGTTTCACTAACAGCAGTTATCCTACTGCCCGTTTCCCGTATCAGCCGGAGTAACTTACGATGATACCAAGGGCAGCGACCATTTCCATATCTGTAACACGAGGAGACCGCTAGGATTCGCGGTCTCTCTTCAGGCTAGCACGGAGTTTTCCCGGAGTTCTTCACGTGACTTGTTGTGTTCGCTTCCAGCCATAATATGCCGGCGAGCATCGATAAGTTCTGGAGACTGTGAAGAGACCCAATATCCATGTTAGCGATAACACTTACCACATGAGGCTTTTGCTCCTGCTACTAATTTCTGGTGAATACGCGACCAGTGGGTTTCAATTGCATCCAGTGAGCACTTACTCAACTCGCATGACAGCGTACTTTGCTAGGCACTGGTGATTACCAAACTTGAAATATCCGACTCGTGTTTGTTTACCATGGGAGGATCTTTTCAAGTTTATAACACCTACATGCGGGGTTCAAGGTCACAAAACATATCGCACTAACACCGTACACTCATACGTTTGCGAGCGATTCCAATCAATTGTTGCGTTTTAATTGATTACTGCGCCAGGATATTTTTCCAATCTCGGCGAATTTATGTAGTGCCCAGGCATTGAACCATACATGAATTTGCTGAGAAGATATGTTCATGGACCGTGATTCGTATTGAAATGAAACTTAGTCAATTCGATCACTGGGACTTCAACTGATGATGCCTACCTTAAAACACCGTCCTCGATTCCCTGCTTCTTGTAACTTCTGCTGTTGTCTTGTACATATATATATATATATATATATATATATATATATATATATATATATATATATATATATATATAAACACGACCAACACTGCAAGTGGCACAGTACCACAACTTATGGCCAAATGTAATACTACAATAATAAATAAATGGCGAGGGTAATTATAGTGTAAAACTAAAGTAATGGAGCAGTGTCTGACAACCAATTCGCCAGTGCTCACGTTTTCTTGACGTATCCGAGAGGGTTTCTAGCCAAGTGTGTCCATGGTCCTTGTGCCTCCAGCCAGGTAGTCAAGAGCGCCCCTCCGAAGTTAAACGTGAGAGAAATGCCTTCATACTTTTAGCCCGTCATTCGCTGGCAACCTTTCTTCGCTTCAAGCCGACTTCTGTGCGCGCAAAGAGTGCACAGTGAAGCAAACACTCAGTATGCATACAGAGCACGTGTCCAAGCCACCGAAGCCTATGCATTGAAATGATGCGGCTCAGCGGCTGGCAATGTCTGTCAGATTTGTAAAGTCCTCGGCGAACATCTTCATTATTAGTGTGTTGTTGTCACCGCAAATCAGCAATGTTCCGTAGGCAGCGGTGATCAGAGGCAGACAGCCTCTGAACCTTCTTTGCCCGAACAGGCCGTATCGCAACCGTACTGCAGGAACGCTCTCACCGTGGGATTGTAGACTTGGCTCTTCAAGACGAGACTCAGGTTGCGATGACGCCAGAGATGACAGAGATTAGCGAACGCAACCCAGGCCTTAGAGGTGCGCAGATAGACCTCACCCGTTAAAAGGTTAGAGCTATCGCAGCTTCCGAGGTAAACGAAACTCTCCACCACCTTCAAAGGTTGATCTGAACGCGCAGGGTGGGAGCAGATCCCAACCAGTCATGTACGAAGACATTACACATTTAAGAGACGAAGGCCATTTCAAACTGGAAGGCAGACACCACCAGACTGCACAGGACATTTTGGGCGGTCTGTGAGGAGCTGCAAATTACGGTGATATCGTCCGCATACTCCAAGTTATGACGTCAGTCCTCCGGAAGCAGTTCAACGCCGCTGAGTCTGCGATGCTTCAATGTGCCCTCAAAACGTTGTCAAAAACAACATTGAAAAGGAAGGGTGATGCAGAGCAGCCTTGTCTCACACCACTGGTGATACTAAAGGGCGGTGCAAGTTCACCGTACACAGAGCACAGCCCGAGGCTCGACAGTAGATGGATCGAAGAATGTTGACGTACTTCTCAGGCACTCCGCTTCTCAAGCGACAGCTCCAGTGAGAAGCTCGGTCAACTGAGTCAAAGGCAGAGCGTATGTCTAAGAAGAAAACTATCGTTGGCCGGCCGAACTCTAGACGACGTTCGAGTAGTTGACGGTGGGTATAGATGTGCTCGATACAACTCCGGACGGAGCGGAACCTAGCTTGCTCTCCTCGTACGTCTGGTTCTCATACTAGATTGTTCCTCCTTAAAAGAAGGGCGGCGAGCACTTTTGCTGCAATACAGTGGAGACAAATCCCTCTTTGGTTAGCACAGTCTGTCCAGACACCGTTTTGGAAAACAGACAAGATGTCTACTAGACTTCAAGCAAACGGGATCGCTTAAGTGTTCCAAACGCTTTGGAAGAGGTTAGTTAGATCCCGAACAAATGATGGACCTCCAACTTTGAGAAGAGCCGGGGGAAGTTAATGCGTGTCTGGGTATTTGTAGTGCTTTAAGAGGCGAAGCTCATGGGCAACCACAGCCTCAGAAGCTAGTGCAGCGTTTACACACCAGGGAGCACAACGGACTCCAGAATGAGGGATCACCAGTGCTGCAAGCCAGTTGAACTGCTGCTAGAAGTGTTCAGCTCAACGCACAATTGAATGTTGTTGGCAGTGAATTCGCTCGCCATTGGTTTCGCACGAAACTTCGCTTACAGTCGGCCTTTTGCATCCAGTGGTTCAGATCAGGTAGAGAAGCTTTCAGAAATTCGCTGAGCTGGGCGCTTGCTCTATAACAATGACGCGTTGCGTCCATCAGGTCTCGCGATTCTCGCAAAAGAGATGTTAGATTTCAGCCTTGGTGTTCCTGTGCAGTGGATGTTACTTAACGCCAGCTGGAATTGCCCGATGCGCTTCAAGACGTTGACTAGATCGTGCAGAGATCCAGGGGTTGGCAGGACTACTGGTGAAACCACAGGCCAAGGTCGCAGAGTTGTGCATGGGGCTGCGGGTGTGTGTCCAGTGAGTTTCAACATCAGAACATAAAGCGCTCTAGAGATTTGGGAAAAACGCATCCTGCAACACGCTGAGAACGTTTGGAGCAGGAAGTTTGGCCACGCGAAACGGCGTCCGACGACTCCGTCTGGAGGACTTGGACTGCAATCCGCAGCTTCGGGAAGAAAAACCATGGATTTTAAATGACCCATCCAGTGGGCCAAACACCGTTGTTACGAGTGTTTCCCGTTGTGACCCGGTGGTATAGACGTGAGCTCATTAGCTCTCATCCCATTGTTCCGAGTTCGACTCGTTATGCTGTTGTATCTACCTGACAATTCAAGTGCAGCTTTGTGAGTGTGCAACACCCAGCACTAAAATACTCCAGATGCAGTCCCAGTGAACGAATTGACAAAAGTTCACTTAAATGTATCCCGATGCATTCGCAAAACCAGTGCATTAGAACAACATTTCGAATGACTTCCAACTAGCTTAGAAGACTCAGCACCATCTACATATTTTCTAAACGTTTCCATGCTTTACAATGGAGTACATATGTGGATGTAGCCAATAATCTGTCGGCGTGCATGACTCGCAATCATCTGTTGAAAGCAGGCATGGTTCGATTAACGGTGTCCTCACATGGCGAGATATCGGATGGAGCTACCGAAGTCGTGGAAATAGTTCACTTGCTTCCATAGAAAAATAACGTGGCCATTGTAAAAAATGACTTTCGCGAATAGCCCAGTATCCGAGAGGGGTTATATGACGCTCACAGTAAGCAGCGAGCAGGCATAGCGTACGCTTGTGAAGAAATCGCTGAAAGATATTAAGAGAAGAAAACAGAACAGAAATCTTTGGGGACACTGGAAATTACCCAGTTTCTGTCTTTGACCGCACATTACACACACTTTACTATCGAAACACAACATATATACATTTATACGTTTTTCTAAGCATACGAACACAAAACCTTTCGTCGGCAGTCGCTTAGTTTCCTGCATATTCTTTTCGTAACATTGTTATCCTACACAGATGAGTACTATGTTGCCCATGCATGTCAACTTGTGTTTGCTTAATGTGTTAGCTGTACGCCGTAACGGTTCTTCGCTACTGCGCGAACACCACCAGTCGCGCGCAGGCGGTATACCGCGAGGACGCCCACCACTACGCGGATTCGAACCGATGACCTTACGGTTACAAAACAAACGTGCAGACCACTCGGCCACAGACCGATTTGTGTTCGCTTAGATATATACAAGTTGAAATTCACCGTAGATGGCGATTTCGTCAAGAAGTATACAATTTTTAGCTCAATATACGAATTATTTTGCATTGATAAATCAACAGATTCACTATTTTAACATAAACATTAATTTTTTTCATTTTCGTGCACTGTATTTGTGAAATGTTACTAACACCAACGTGTGCTCATTAGCCCTTGGATGATTTGAGAAACTGATGGACGATTTTTGCTAGAAGAAGTTTTCTCAGGTAACGTTAGTTTACTACGCGTCGGACAAGATGCCCTTGCCTGACCATATTAGCCTAACTCCTTAATCACTCATCTACCCAACAAGGTGAATTATTGGGTCATCCAGCCTCTTCCGATATCATCCCACCAACAGCGTAGATATGTCATTTGTGATTATTGCAAGCATACACATGAATCAACAACTCAGACCAATTTTCTTTCTCCCGCCCCTCCTCCTCCCTAATCTGACAGGAGTGAACGAAGTGGATGAACAGGGGAATTTGCCCATCCACTTTTCCGTGACGGAGGGACAGACCCCGGCTGTCCGGTTGTTGCTCAGTGCCGGCGCTGACGTTCTGTACGCGAATAAAAACGGTCTACAGCCGATTCATATTGCCTGTGAAAGAAACGACACAGCCACCCTGAAAGTTAGTTTTCTTATGGTAAAAGCTAGTGCACATTAGAAGATTAGGCTGGTTCGTGGGAACTTTGATCAATCGCCAGAATTCCCAATACGGTGATTATGTCATAGTGATGAAATCCTTGAACCCACGCCGTTCTATTGGCAGAGTGAAGAAGACGGTTTTAAGACACTTTTTTGTTGTCGACCTTTGAATTCAGCAAACAGAATAGTTCTTCCCGGGCCATGCTGCAGACAAGTCAATGGGGCACATGGAACACGTGCTGTCAGAAGAATATACGTCGGTACTAATTTTCGAACAGCGCGCCAAGCGCCAGTAACTATACCAATGAGCAGAGTTAATGTTGCGAAAAGGGCCACTAATCCTGTAATTAGTTGCACCTGTTCATTGTTTGTTAGTTGAAATACAGTGCCTGTTGGCTGCACTCAAAAACTGGACTTGAGCTCTGACCAAGTAAAATGATAACAACTAACAGGTAAAATTAGTCGGTGAAAATACTTACGTTTGTTGCTGTGTAATTGTGGTCCGTGGCCTGACGTACGAAATATTTAAACTGCAGCTAGTTCTCCACTGACTTTTAGTGAAACTCGACTCCTCTGTGCATCAACAATCAATGTGTTGGACACATACGGAGTTGTTCTGCGCATATTCGTGGTTTCTGCTAGTGACCTTGCACGTGTAATAGGCTTGAATTTCAATAATTTTTAAGCAAATGTAGTCAAGAAATTGCTTTATGCACCCTGCATGTGTGAATATTCAGCTTATAACACATACACTCTCGACAATGTACCAAAAAAGCAAATCAATCGCAAGGCAATACGACAGAACGAGTAGATAGGGACAAAAACACAATCAAGTTAAAAGTCGACTGGTTAACTCAAGGAGAACGGAGTTGTGGTCTCGCAAAAGACACGAGAGGTAAGGGATGACTGACGAGCGGTAAGCTTGTTTGCTGGCATAGATTAGTCTGTACTTCTGCCCAGTAGATGAAGTTGATAAACATATGAAAAGGCAGTATGGAGTGGATGATTTGTATCGGTCAGTATCTTAGAGGCCAGTTTTGTACAAGAATTGATGTGTAGAAATAAGTGTTGGTAAAAGTAGCTATCGGAGCACTGCTACATCGGGCTGTGCTTTAATGATCTGACCATTAACTGAAAATGCCTACCCAAAAGACCGAGAAAGATCACAGGGGAACAGTACGTCCAATGGGGAAGATCACAGACATTGACAACACGAAACGATCAATATACGAGGAAAGCAGGAGGCACTGAGCCAAGAGGCATAGAATGACAGCCTTCTGACTTTTGTGAAGTCTCATTTACTTGAAGCGTACAAGCTAAATCGTAACTCAACGTCACACCCAGATATGTTAATGATGTGGAAGACTGTAATCCGTCGCCATCAATATGTAACTTGTTGCACAGTGTAAGGAGCTCCTCGTACCTGGCACTTTATTTAAGGAAAGAAGAATGTCATGACACTTCGAAGCATTGAGAGACAGATCACGGGATTCGGACCAGCCATTAAGATCATTCAGAAGCGCTTGTAGTCTGAATGAACAATCCGCGCTTTCGTCCGCATATTTAGCAGAGTCGCTTCCCTTGTAGCTGGCTTAGAGCTGACGTAAGTAGAAAAGAGAAAATGCGACAGAACTGCGGCCTGAAAGACACCTGCGTTGGTGAGCAGCGGGGAGGAACATCTGCCACTGAGTCGGGTGATCCGAGAACGTTTAGCAAATTAGTCACTCAGTAAATAGACAATGGAAGGATGTACTCCTTGAGTAAGTAGTTCTCCTAACAGTAATTCGCGGTTTACACTGCCAAATGCATTGATGTAGTCAAGCAACCACTTCCGAGTTGCTCTATTCCTATTGTACAGAATGTATGAGGTAGGCCACAGCATCTATCGTAGATCACGAACTACGATAGACGAACTGCATGGGGTCCTTATAGCGTGTTCTGAACGGCATCATTTCGAGAATGACTTTCTCCGGAACCTTCAAAGCAACGGGAGTGCACGCAATAGGTCGATATTTGTTGGATGTTTTTTCCGGCATTGGTGTAATGTTGACACTCCTCCAGCGGTCCCCTATTTTGTGTTGCTGCATACACATTGTGTATATACTGGCAAGAGGTGTTGCCAAATAATCGGCACATTCTTTGAGTAAGATAGCAGATAGCTTGTTTGGTCCACTACTTTTACCGGAATGTAGATGTTTCCTTAGAGTATTTATGTTGCACTGTCAACGGGAGGCAGTGGTTCTGCAGACCCCAGAACTTGAGCATCGGAAGACTATGGAGCTGTAGTAGTATTACACTTGCAGAACTACTGATGCAATATCTCTACATCTACATCAAAGTAAGGCGAACATCGAGTAACACCGCTAAGCGTTTTCAGCATCCTCCAGAGTTTACGACAACTGCCGTTCCCAAGAACAGACTGAACATACACTTTGTTAAGACGGTGTATCTCTTCCTTGATACGACCTGCGAGAGATCTTACAGAGGTGCCGTCTCTTCCTTTAAATGATTTCTCCTTAAGGCGGCGTGGCCGCTTCAGGTGGGGGAGGAAAACCTGTCAGCGCGGACTTAAATATTTTCCAAAGTACAACAGATATAAAAACAGAAGTTTAAATATCTTGCAAAATGATCACAATACCTGGATACATCAAGGTCAAAGCACAAACTAAATTCCATCGTTGTGATCATTTCGCGAAGTCTGTCGAGATTTGGTGGAGAGCACTATTTCCACCTGACCCTTTGATCACTGCAGCGACTGATTTGTTAGTGGTTGTTCTTGCTATAGATGACAGGCAAAATCTTGCTTGTTGAGCGCTCAGGATTGCCGCTTTGAGCCCGAGTACGCACGGAGAACCACTTCATAGTATTAACAAACACCAGATCATGATTTCGTTTAACCTGGTGGGCAGAATGACGATGTTTTGAAACCCGAGAGTGGTGAGAAAAGTAGTGTCACACGTATTGAAATCACTGCCGAAAATGCACAGAGAACGATTAACGTATTCTATGACAGCTGCAGTAAATTCAGCGTTTAAATTCTCAGCTTCATCTTGGCGACAGATAGCAGATTTGTAGATGTTAGCCAACAATATTGAACAGCAGTCATTCAAACACCTCGGCTTATATTGTAAGACTAAACAATTGATAAACTGTGAGGAGAAGCAAAAACAACTTTTGTCGCAATATACCACCACCTCGTTTTCGGTACGTGCATGGGCGGTCAACCCGATGGCAAATACATTCTCCAACGGCTACGACCTCATCATCCAATTCTTCATGGTGCCAGGTTTCTTGCAGCATGATGATTCCAAGCTGCGAAAACTTTCTTGAGAAAACAATGTTAGATAGTTCATTTAATTTCCCCATGAGCGAGCGGATGTTGGTGCTAAGCAATACTGGGACGTTCAGATCTCGAATTTTTTCTTCGAAGAGCAACTGTTTGCAGAACGGTGTTTTCTAACGGAATTCTTACGCTCCTTGTGAATTCGTTTCAGTTTGTTTCTGATGACAAAACCGTTCGAAAATGCACGAGTTACGAGCGTAGAAAAACGTCGCGATTTTAAAATATCGCGTGAGTAGATTTGCGTCGCAAGACGAGTGTGGAATTAAAATAAGAACCGATGTAGCAAAATGTAAGATATGAGAACGTGTGCGTTGAGAAACTCCAAAGTGAGGAATGGTGAAGCACGACCAGCTTTGAAGGCCCCGCCAACCAGCGAACTTAAGATGTGATCAGTGATATTTCACAGCAGTCTAGCATCGGGGAACTGGCATAGTAGGAACTTGAAATCTCGAGGAGCTTTGAATCATGAACCTTACTGTATAATGCCAAATAGGAAAACCGGAACGTGCAATTTTTGGGACGAATCCCTCATCTTGTGCATACAGATCAATCAAATGTCTGCGACTGATGATGTACAGTGCAGAAGGGCGGTAAGGATCGATTGGTGACCAACCAGCAGCTATGAACAATGAACAATGATGTACCACGGGATAAAAGCAAGTGCTTGACACGTCCCGCAGGATGGTTGAGGTGAATATGATGAAGTCAAAATATATCTGGGTAATCTACCGGACGTCTGCCGAGATGAATAGTTTGATAATTAACATCAGTGCAAAATTAAAAAGTATCGAGCGTAAAAATGCAGAAAGACACTGGGGTTCAGTGATGGTTAATGTAAAGGGTGAGAAAAGTAAAATATGGTCGCCCACTTGGGTCCATTTGATACATAAATCCTGTTGAAAAGCATGCTTGGCGTAATCCACAATAGAGGAGTCTAGGTAACAAAATGTTGAGACCTAAGAGCAATATCTAATCGCTTTTTGAAAACATCCAAGGTGGGAGAGGATACAACTGAGTCTGGGAGTGCGTTCCAGGGTTGGCAAACCCGAAGGGAAAAGTAATTTCGTCGACACTCTAGACGACTATATTGTTCCCTCAATTTTAAGCAGTTTCTCTAAACTACGTGTTGTGGCTGTTTCAGCAAATGGCGGCATACGTGGTTGGGGTCACTCAGTATCTGGTACGATAATATGAGATACCCGCGCAGCCTTCGATAGCGTCCGCTGAAAATTCCCAGAAATTTCAGCCTTCGGTGGTCAGAGTGATAGCGCAGGCCCTTTACGTTCTTTGTTGCTCTTCGTTGTGGTACCTCTATCGCTTCTAGGTCGCGCTTCAACCAAGGTTGACAAGCTTGGATAGCGTATTCAACATGCGGGCGTACGTAGGAATTGTGCATCACTGGGAAGATTGATGGATCAAATCTCCTGAATTCCCTTCGTAGCATGCCGAAGTGCTGGTTGCCTCTTTTCGTAGCCACCTCAGCCTGTTTTGAACAGTTGAGGTCGCTCATTACGAGCACACCAAGGTAACGTTCCTGGGAGCTATTCTGCAATCCATTTGCCCCAAGTAACTAGGTGTAGTTATGTCTATGGCATAATTGTACAACGCGACATTTGTCTACGTTGAATGGTAGGGCGTTT